CTTCTCATTCTCCTAGCTCCTTCCCCTCCCCCCTACTCCCATGCTTCCAATTTTCTCAGGAGATTTTGTCCCTTTCCCCTTCTCCAGGGGACCATGTATGTCTCTCTTAGGGTTCTCCTTGTTTACTAGCTTCTCTGGCAGTGTGGATAGCAATAGTCACTTGTTCTCCAGTTTGACCCCTCATGAAATTCTATAATAATGCTTGTCCACTACAAAAAGAAAAAGAAGTCCCTCCATGATATAAGTTGGTAGTTGTAGTAATTTAAGGATATGCACAAATGTTTAGAATACAATTTGTTAGGCACATGTTTCTGTTTAACAAACAATAGCAGTCACCACCACCCCCAACTGCTGGGATTTGTTCTGGCTTACAGTTTCAAACATAGGTTCCCTCTTGTGGAATAGGCCTTAAATCTATTCAGAACATGGTTGATTGCATTTTTAATAGTCATTCCACTATGGTACCAGTAGGCACATCTTGCCTGACATGTTGATAGCATGGTATGCTAAGCACTAGGTCAATAACCAAGGAGGACTATCAGCAAAAATTTCCCTCTGAGGCCTGTCTTGCTTCTTACAGGCTCTACAAAACCCATTCATACGGGGAGCCTCCAGGTCAGTCACATCTTGGTTTCTCAAGGTCCTTTAGCCAAAGCATGTGGTGCTTTTTTCCCCTAGTTTTTCAAGACAGGGTTTCTCTGTGTATCTTTGGAGCCAATCCTGAAACTCTCATTGTAGACCAAGCTGGCCTCAAACTCACAGAGATCCGCCTGCCTCTGCCTCCCAAGTGCTGGGATTAAAGGTGTGCACCACTATTACCAGGCACATGTGGTGTTTTCAACAATAAAGACTTAACATCTACTTTGGGCATACAACCTACAGCAGAGGCAATAGATTTTATGAGTTACGGTGCCCTAGTCACCACTCTGGCCAGCAACTTGTAGGGAGTGCAGAAGCTGCAGCCTTTTCCCCAGGGGACACTCTGTTTCTCCATCTGTCTTGCCTCTCATCCCCAGAAACAACTGGCAAAGCTGATAGAATGGATTTTGGAAGGCTTAATTTCAGTGACTGACATATTAAAAAAAAACAGTATCTACCCCATTTCTATTTTATTTTTTTAATTGATACACAAATTGTACATATTTATAGCATTTCATAGGATGTTTTGATCCATATTAAAACAAACAGTATCTACCCCATTTCTATTTTATTTTTTTATTGATACACAAATTGTACATATTTATAGCATTTCATAGGATGTTTTGATATGTGTGTACATTGTACAGAGCCAAGTCCAGGTAACCCTGTAAGATCACCTCAAATATTACTTCTTTGTGGTAGAAGCATTCAAAATCCTTTCTGACAGCACATTTAAATCTGGAGCACAGTAATACAACAGAACTTATTTCTTTAACTGCAACATAGGACACAGTGACCAGGTCCCCTACCCCTTCCTCCAGTCTCTGGTAAACCACCATTCTCCTCTCAGCTTCTGGGGAAGCAATGTTTTTTTGACTCCATATGTGACATCATGAGTACTTGTTTTTCTGTGCTTGGCTCATTTCACAAAATGACCTCCAGTTCCATCCATGTCCCAATGACAAGACTTCATTCTTTCTATAGATAAATCAGATCCCACTGTGCTTAGGTACCACATTTTCTTCATCCACTCATCCACTGATGAATATTTATAAGCTTCCCAGCTCTTGGCTCTTGAGAATGGTGCTGCAATCAACATGGGAGTGGTATCTTTTGAAATACTTGTTTCATTTCCTTTAGATGTATCCCTAATGTGGGATCATATGGCATGTCTAGTCTTAATTTTGTGAGGAACCTCCATGGTGTTTCTATCATGACTGTGTTAACATATCTTCCAGATAATGGTGTGACTCATGAAATTGAGTTTTTCACCCTTGTAATAACCATAGATTTTCTGGGTTGGGAATCTGGTGACTCAATGAATGCTTCTACTGGCGAGCATGGTGGGAGTCTGATAAATTGGAAGATGAATTTGCACCATGTGGGTGTATTAGGTGAACCAGTGTACAGGTAAGGGGATTGCTGCACTGTCAGGCAATTTTTCCCATACCCTAGAAGCCATTACTGCTACCCCACAGGGGAAAAGGAGACTCGCTTTAGAGCCCAAAGGATCACTGGGATACTTGGTACATCTGGTGCCCTGTGTGTCTATTCTGGAAGTCTAGAGTTCAAATTCTTTAGTTCTGTGGTGACTCTGATGCTCTTTGTCTTGGGACTACAGTTCCAGGAGCTTTTGTGGTCCTCTTCTGGGAGTTCTAAAGTGCTTCCGTCTAGACCTGCAAAGTCTCTTTCTAAGTTCTTTGGGTATGTGTTAACTCAATAAAAACAGGACAAGAATTTGTCTCCTCTCTGAATGAGGTAAAATGCCCCCACAGCTGAGGGACTATGCAGGGGATGTGGCGGGTCGAGACCAAGAATGCTGTCCATCCTAGCCTTATGACCACTACAGAGGCGGTTGTGCTAGCCTCTCTACCTTACGCTGGCTACATTCCAGCGTAAGGTATGGGTGAAAATGGGGCAACATTGACATTGTCTGGGGCAATATGGTGTCTACAGGACTGTTTCCTTAGAATTAGTGTTTGCTTCCCCATCTTAGCAGAGTTCATGATGGATGCTCAGTGTTGCTTGTGGTGGGCTGTGCTGGTTATTTGTTAGTTACTCCAGTGTGCTGACATATTATTCAGTAAACCCACCCTTTGGTGCCTATTACTTTTGGTCATTGGGAGACTGAGAAATGAGGCAAAAGGTACTGGCCTGGAATTGTGCAAGGACTTTTTTTTTCTGGTTCTGGGGATTAAACCCAGGATCCCAAGCATCTTGGACAGATGTCCTACCACTGAGCTGTAGTTCAGCCCAAGGCAAGAGTATTAGATGTACCTGTGGCACAGCTACTTTTGCTGGACTCAACCATGCAACAACCCCTGCTGGGATCTAGTTGTCCTTCCTTGTCATTTCAGGCCTAGATAAGTCTGATGTCTCATTGAGGGCTGTCCTTGGTATCTGCCATTCTGTTTCCCTGAACTCTGTGACTGTACTTTCTTTAACTCTATTAATATTTCAAGTGCACCTCTCTCTCCTGCTAGCCACTGACAGTTGCAGAGAACCTTCCCTGTGGGGTTGTGGGGGGGGGGAGAAGGAGGGAAAGTCTTAGTAGATGACTGTCAAGGACTTATGGAGTCAGCATAGATGGGCAGAAGCAAGTATGATTGAAACTGTCTGTCTATATCTATTCCAAAACTGATGTGGGAAACTCAATGTGATCACTTCTCAGTGGCCTGGACCATCATCTACAGAGACTATTATGCATATTATCAATCCTACATGGCAGAACCAGTCCTCAACTGCAAGGCCATGGGAGAGGGACCTGTTCTTATGGACAAAAGGATTTACAATTGTTTCCACTTGGTGCTTGAAAGCAGGACTGACCTCTTTTGGAAACCTCTGGGGTTTGGGGCAATTTTGTGGGTGGAGAGCCACTTGTTTTTCATCCCAGCAA